TAAGCAAGAAATCATAATCTTTCCCAAACTGTTGTTGTTGATGTCTGTAGTTAACACACCATAACAACAACAGTTAACACACCATAACAACAACAGTTAACACACCATAACAACAACAGTTAACACACCATAACAACAACAGTTAACACACCATAACAACAACAGTTAACACACCACAACAACAGTTAACACACCATAACAACAACAGTTAACACACCATAACAACAACAGTTAACACACCACAACAACAACAGTTAACACACCATAACAACAACAGTTAACACACCATAACAACAACAGTTAACACACCATAACAACAACAATTAACACACCATAACAACAACAGTTAACACACCACAACAAAAATTAACACACCACAACAACAACAGTTAACACACCATAACAACAATAGTTAACACACCATAACAACAACAGTATAGACCAGATGAAGCGTAAATCATTCAGTATATAAACACACTGATAGTAAAATAATAATATATAAAATAAATACAATAAATAAAAGATATAATAATACAAAAACATTAAGACAGACAGCATCAGGTGACAGATAAAGTGACTAATGAAGAACAATAAATAACGAGAAATTATAATAACACCCAATTAAAAGGTTTCCCGTGATAACAATAATGACACGGTACATAATTATTGATGGTGGGTTACGATACCTGGAAGATAATTATGATGAAATATAAGTAAATTATATTGATTGATCGATATTGATAATTAATATAAATAACTAAACTGTCACTGATAAAATAGGTAATAAAGATTGATTGATAAATTGAAGAGTTGTAAAGATATTCTCACTGACGCAGTATTTTGAGCATGATGGAAATAGATGATTCTAGTACATTCAGGTATATAGCTCATTAAGTGCTCAGGTGATGATTGTAATGTAATGTAAAAGTATTAATCCCATAATCCCAACCATCAAGACTAAAGTAAACACACAGTTGAGCTGATATATTATTATGTGTGTTATTCTGAAGTGATTAGGGAAAGAATTATGATTATCAATATGAAACTAAGGTGACGGAGTTAGATTATAAACATCAAATACTCAGACGTCGTTTTTTTTTTGCCATACCCTCCAATACAACACGATACTTAATGTAATTCCAAAATTAATTGAAGCTATGTAAAATTTATTAGTATCCTCTCGCACTCGTTACATTCAACGTCTTTCTGGGAGGGTGTTGCAGGGGTCACTAACTCCTATTCTCTTTATATTTTAAATTATTGTAAGAAATCTGTATAATTCAATATTTGTCTACAATTTTCTTAACTTTTTCTTCCCTCAAGGCTATTGCTATAACACTGAGATATACAAGCGGCACTAGACGTGACCGACTGCCTAAGCGGCGAAGAGGATAAATGTAAAAGTTGAGCGTCAATATGGACTCTATACTTCCTCCACCTGCTCAAACACATAATAACAAAGATACACAACTTGGTGAGGACTGATTAGCTCTCTAAGGGTTAAATAGTTCATAGTTCTTACATCAAACAGCTGTAAATGTAGAAATCGGTGGATTTTGTGAGGAGAGAGAAGTCGGGAGACATTACCGCGAGGCTGGTGGCCGCTGGCGGAAAATATTTTGATTTGGGAATAGGCCACTGGCTTTTTTTTTCCTCTTAACAAAATTTTCTTTGCTTTAATATAAATAAAAACATAACAATTATTATAAAACAAAATAAATAAATAAATAAATAAATAAATAAATATACTGTATATATCGTTTATATATTATTATACTGTTCATAATTTATGCCTGTAAGATTAAGTGATGTCTGGCAACTCAAACGGATCTGTCAAACAACATTTCATAATAATGCTGTTTTTTTCTTGTATAGTCTGAATTTATGAAATATATACGCGCTACCTTCTTGTATTTTGTGTTCAATGTAACATTTCAATTGTATTCTAAAGAGTAAAGATACAGAGATATAAGAAATAAATATTTACTTCATGCTTTATATATGTATTACACCACAGGTAGACTTACTGTAGTCACTAGTGTACCATGTATTACCAGATCAGAGAAAAGGACATTGTTAAGCTTGACGGTACATTTAGTCAGCAATATACCCCGGCTAACCTATGCTACCCCATTCTTCAGTGTATGTATACTTGAGGAAGATATAAGCTGTGGTGTACATGGTGTAGGTTTTCTTATATTAGATGTGAATTATATTTTACCATTCTGTTTGTGGAGGGGAGGGGAGGGGAGGGGGGTAGAGAGAAGAGGGGGAATTGGACATATACTTGAGTTACACTAACATAACCTAACGTAACCTAACGTAACCTAACGTAACCTAACGTAACCTAACCTAACATCCCCCTCCCCCTCCGAGCATCACCAGAGGACTGTCACCCTCAATAAGCCAAGGCTATACAGTACATACAACAGCGGTATTTTCTCTCACGGGCGGACTGATCGATAGACGCTCAGACGCTCACGTGCCTTATACTATAGACAGACGAATCATTTGGGGCCCCAGAGACATGTGAACTACTGGACTGGTAGTTTCGGCCTAACCTAACCTAACCCAAGACCTCCTCCCACTGACCTTCACCTTTTTCATATCAGTTGATTCTGTTGAAGTTAACAACATGATTTTGATCCATCGTAGAGATACACAAAAATATAATAATTAAAATTTCCAAACATCATTTTAATTATATTACCAAAAATATATAATACCTTGATTATATATACCGCACAGAATCACTAATAAAATGTTAACGTCAATGATTGTTGGTTTAAAATATTTACTGAACTAATTTGTTATAAATATTTTAACTATAACAAATATAATTATATAATTAATAACACAGACATTCGGAACAGTTTACCTACAAGATTTATTCATTACAAATAATAATGAAAACCAGTTAGACACACAACACAGTAAACCCAAGCATATTAAAGTCCGTTCTCCTCTTCTTTTGAACCATGGCGAACCCCGAGATTCAGATTCGTGAACCCAAACCAGTAGACCGATACATTATTCTATCCATATAAGCTTCGGATTTATGAGTCGGACTCTCGGGGTTTGTGGTTCGGGGGAAGAGGCGAACGGACGAATGGACTTCAGTAATGTAGTTGACTGTAGTACTGTATTCTCAATATATCTTAGGGTGAATTGAGATGATATAACTGCATATATTATACTCTTGTCTGTCTCGCTGTAATTACACTTGCGTTTATCGTATTATTTTACATTAATTTATCTACATTCTTTTTATGCTTAATTATTCGCTTTTATCTTGTGAGGAGAAAGAAATAGAGACAATAAAACACTTGTTAGCACACTGGCGGCATAATCTTCCAGGTAACGAGTCTTTACGCAAGAACTTGACTGTGTTCTCTGGCCGGTCAACACCTGCTTGACAGATAAAAATTATTTCTCGTCTAATCGAATTACTCCATTGGCTTTTACTATAGAAGAGTTTGGAAAATTTTAGTTTACGTTAGTAATAATTAGCAATAATTACGAGAGATCTTCACTTTGTCTAACCTAACCTAACCAAAATTTGACTCTTGGATAAATGGTCTTATCAAAATATTTAGTGATTCTCGGTATAACTACTAATGCGGGAAACAGAAAATAACTGATAGCGTGAAACAGACATAGGAAATTGATTATAGTTAGAGACAGAGACAACATAAAGAGGAAGACAGACAGACAGAGAGAGGTAGTACATCAGGAAGACGTTGATAGTGTTAGCAGTAGACCAGACAAGCACTTCCCTCATGCACTGAACACCATAACAGAACTAGAACTCAACTTAATCACCACGAGAATTAACATAAAATAGTTCCGATATTTAAAAGATCTACAAGATATTTTTCACAAATAATAATAATAATAAAAAATTACAAACCATATCTAATTAATTTTTCTGATTGAGATACGTTTTTATTTAATTTTTTTCAATGTGGTATTATATTGTCCCATCTGCTTGTATCAACACTGACCGCCGTTGACACACTCCCCTACATATATTTGGATAGTATTGTATATATCACAGGATGGTGTATTAATGTAAGTACGTTTTTTTATCGAAACTTTATATAACCTTTTTGTTTTTGCAGTGTGTAATGTATATTGTAATTAAAAACTCACGATACTATACCGTTATTGTTGTATATTTTAGTGTATAAAAGACTATTATTGATGATTTATCTTCTTAAATGCCCTCAAGACCTACAATTATTTTAAGTGTATCATTGAGGTCTTTCGTGATATTCAAATAGACATAATTGAGGCGGGTCTATTACAGCAATCAAACCTTCACATGTGAGTTATTAACTATCATAAGCTCACGAGTCACCTGGCGTCATTGTTCACGCAGTCGACTCTCTCTCTCTCTCTCTCACTGAGCTCGTGTTTGAAGAGTTCATTTTTCCCTCGAGTGCATCTGCCGAGGGCGAGACTTGCGGCCGTTACCGCCTAAACTAATAAATAATACGAGAGGAGTTTACTGTGTGGTCCCCAGTGGGTGGGAGCGAGATGGAGGGAGGTGGGAGGGAGGGAGGTTGACTGAGCAAGAGGGAGCCATTCGTTCCGAGCTCCCATATAATGTTACAAGCCAGACACTTTCGCGGGGAAATGGTCCTCTGATCTCACCTAACAGGCTCACTGAGAGGCTTAGGATAAGAAGGACTTCGACCTGGCTCTTTGACCTGTGGCTATAGGCCGGTTTAAACGGCCAGGTTGGGCTGACAAGGGCAACAAAGTGCATTCTTGCTCCGCCTACCTCGTCATAATGTTTGTGGAACGCGCCAGAGTTGTGACGTGGATCCGCCTCCACCTCACATCAGCCAATCAGAGAGCGTTGTTCGCTGAGCAACTGGGCTGAACCTCCGTCGACCAGCCACTCAGAGCAGAGCTTCCTGTTCTTGTAAAGCGAGGGGGCGTGACACGTCGGGGAGTGAGCGTGAGAACTCGAGCTTATTAGTTGTGAAGTGTTGCTTGTTGACATACCACGTGGAGGAGTCTCTCAGTGCCTATGAGAGGCGCATAACAACCTCTCCCCTCACAAGTGTGGCCTTACCCCAACTCCGTCCACGAGTCATTCCCGCGCCAGTGTCTCGTCCAGCCGGGAGTAACGCCGATCGACTCTCCGACCCGATTCGATTGCCGCATTCTCCGACCGAACGGAGCGCTCCGTTAACAGTGCCAAGGAGAGTCCCCGTTAACGGGCACCGAATGTTCTGTTGAGTAAAAGGGAAATGACGGTAACAGGAGCCGCCATGATGCAGACGATGCAGCCTTGTTTTGTGGGATACCCATTCCAGGGTAAGTTGGGGCAATTTTTGTCCGCTCATTATATTGTTGTATTTCTTAATATTTTGTCTTGTTCCGCGTGTTCCTGGCTGTCATGACCACACACACAGTCACCACAGTGAGGTTTAATACAGAGATGAGTAGTAGAGTTATACCTGTTGTTAGTGACTTATGTAGCCGTAGGTGTTGTAGTGAAGTATTCAGTGTTCGGGGATTATCTTCAATGTTTTGATATATTCTTTAGTGTTCTAGCGTAGTGTTCAATGTTCTAGTATAGTGTTCAGTCTTCTGGTATAGTATTCAATGTTCTGGGTTAGTGTTAGTGTTCTGGATTAATCTCACATGGCACCATAGGCCTATAGTTATCAGAAGGTTTAAAAGTTATTCATGAAGAATCTCTCTCTCTCTCTCTCTCTCTCTCTCTCTCTCTCTCTCTCTCTCTATATATATATATATATATATATATATATATATATATATATATATATATATATATATATATATATATATATATATATATATATATATATATTATATAATCTTATATTATAAATTATATATATATATATATATGTATATAATTTATAATATATGATTATATAATTTATATTATGGTAAATCGTGAATATTAGTTTTTATATATAAAAATTACTTGATAAAATCACACAGGAAAAGGGAAACAATGGATCACTCTAGCTTTCGTCTTTATTAAAAACATCTTCAGAGGCAACTGAATTACAAGGACCGAGATAGGCTTAAGTACACAGGGTGACCTTACTAAACATGAGGTCAGGTCATAAAAATACGACAATGTAAAAACTAATTAGATTAAACGTAGACTTAAAGATTACAGTGTCATTACCTTGTGAACGACTGTGAGATAATGCTTGTTTATCTGTAGTGATCTTTATTATAGAAATATGTAAATATACTGTGATGTTATCTGTACCACCAAGTTTAGTTAATGACGCCATTCAATATTTTACATTTACAGCATGACAACTAAATCCACGAATACAAATTATTAAATTAAATTGATAACGAGAGAGAGAGAGAGAGATATATATTTGAAGAAAAAATATAGATTAACAATTATATAAAGCTATGACAGAATTTTCCCCTAAACTTTCCTTAAAGAACAAACTGCCCAGGTTAAGAACACCTCTGTGAAGGTCTCTTGTATATGTTAATATTTATCTATACCTTATATATAATTGTTTTTACCTGTGAACAATTTCAATTATCATTTATATGTTGTCAAGTTTTATTCCTATAACTCCTCTTAAGGAAGACAATCAGCTCGTAGATGTCACTGTTAAAAAATAGTTACCGCACTTAGTATACCTGTGTGTCCAACCTTGTGTGTGTCGGAGCAGGAATAATTGGTCACTCAGATTTATATAATTACTGTCCCCAGACGTTTGGAGGATGTTAACAAATACTTGGTCATTAAGTAGGGTAACACAGCCACCACCTGGTAATTACTGTGTCGAGGCTCAGGTACTGTACCCCTTCACACAGTATATTAGACTATAGCGACGGTATAATATATATTACTTTACTCACTGTTGAAATATAACCAACCTGTCTGACGGTAGAGAAGTGTAAGAGAACTGACTGAAGTGTGAGTATAGTGTTGATATAGTGAGGTGAGGTGAGGTGAGACTGGGATGGGTTAGGTCACTGTGTGTGTGTCATGACCTCTCAGTATGTATATAATGTAAATATTCTCTATATAAACTACATGATGATACTCTATATAATACAGGCAACAGTTTTACTCATGATAGCCGCCAGTAGTCATTGTAAAATAGGGCGGGGCCACCAGACGCAGTATAATTAACTAATACTTGAGCTGTTTCCCGTAGCAGCTCTGTAGATGTTTATCCTATTCTTACTACAGAAAAAATCCTCACGTGTATATTATAGCTGATGTTTATATATCTGTTTATTGCATAAGATATTTTGTTGCTATATAACTTGTATCATATCTTAATTATATTATATATTAAAACTAACATAGGTATCATTGTAGTAGATATAGTCCCATAAATATATATACAAACAGTAATATATAACCCATGTGTGTTTGTAAACCCTGGTAGCCGGAATATATTAAATAAGATTATCAGTAACAAGTAGAGTTAAGTAGAACCAGTAGCAGTGAAAGGAACTATAAATACACTTAATTTACTATAACACATAAATATAATTAATTTATTCTCGGGGAGTAAGTCAACAAATTACACATAATAACACACTGGGGCACAGATAAATAAATCCAGGAGCCACGGTCGGGAGTTCCCTTCACTAGCACTACACAACACCACACACTCCCTCCATCTGTCCGGCCTGTCCACTTAATCATCCAGTTAGGAGAGAAGCGGCCGTGTTCATATCTCACCGACACGCACAGTCACCACACACGGAAATATGACTTTATGGACGTAGTAACGAGACACGACAAAGGACAACGAGATTACACACACACACACACACACACACACAACATGACTACACGACTCAGAAGAAGATATTCAAGACATGGCAGAACACTTAATCCACCGCCGAAACGATAGTATGACGAAGAGCGACGACATGTGATAAACAACGGAAAGAGACAACCTGCAGGAGCTGTGAAACGACTGACGGCTGTTAAAGCGACAATCGACGACACGTTAACAGAAGGTGTAGTGAGTTAATGAATTACAACGACGGATACAGTACCTAGTGAAGGGAGGTAAACGCTACAAAGACAACAACATGCATTGTAATAATTATTGAGACCACAACAACAGCAGGACATAACCCACAATAACAACAGGATATAACCCACAATAACAACAGGATATAACCCACAATAACAACAGGATATAACCCACAACAACAACAGGATATAACCCATAATAACGAGACGGCATTGTAACAAAGCACAAGGTTATAAACAGTGCCAACACGACAAACAGCACATGAAGACCAGCACGACCAGACGACAGGGAGGTCGGGCGAGCACCAAGTCCCGGCCGGTCCTGTGCTGGGGTCAGGTTACCCTCTGGTCACGCTTTGACGATTTAGGGGTTCCTTGGTGCTGCCCCTCCCCCTGCCCTACCCTACCCTGCCCTGCCCTGCCCCTCCATCATCCCCCTGCCCTGCTTCTCCCTCATCCCTTATACCCTTTACCCCTCTCCTCTTCCTCTGCTGTTCCTTCCTTATCCCCTGCCTTGCCCCTGCCACCCACCATTACGAGAGAGAGAGAGAGAGAGAGAGAGAGAGAGAGGTCATACACTAAGACCACGAAGTCTTCTCACCTAATTCCTTCTCCTCGTCTGAATGTTTGGTACTATGAGTTATTATGAGTCCCGATCTGTGTTTATCGTCCTCTCTTCATTTCTCTCTTTATTTATCCAATATTCTCACTCAGTTTTACACCGACTTGCACACAACCTGTTACCTTTTGTTCTTCGTCTCGTCTGTGATTTCTCCCGCGACTATGCCTTCTCTGCCACACTAGTTCAGCCGTATGAGTCCAGTTAGGTAAAGACCATGAACTACATCTGTTTGACGTGATCTGTACAACAGTCTTGAGGCCTCAGGGTGGGTACAGTGTATCTCTCCTCCACCACGACTCTCACACCTGGGATATTTAATTATTAATTTTAAGTGATTTAAATAATATATGTATTGGTTACTATCATGATAAAGATAATTATTAAAAACTACAATAACAACAATAATAATAAATATGAGTAGTTAGTTATGTATATTGATAATACAAATAAATAAAAATAGCAACTTGAATTGAATAATAATAATAATAAAAATAATAATAAGAATATTCACAAGGATAATGCCAGTAATAGATTAATAGAAAGGATAATACTAACATCTATATTGATATTATTTACACCACTAATAATAATTATAACAGTAGTATTAATAACAGCAGTAGACATTATAGGTGTGTCAATTAAAGTGTGGCACCGCGATGGGGAGGGAAAGAGGGAGGGAGGCTACCTGGAGACATTCACGAACTTTAAATTGTAACTGTGTAAAAAAAATAGCATTGAAAAACGTTTATAATAATAATAGTAGTAATAATAAGGGTAATAGTAATAATAATAATAATAATAATAATAATAATAATAATAATAATAATAATAGTAATAGTAATAATAATAATAATAATAATAATAATAATAATAATAATAATAATAGTAATAGTAATAATAATAATAATAATAATAACCGAACACCTTGGTGATAACATTCTCGTCTACTGTGAGTTATTTTCCCCGTAACAACAAACGCTTTATAAAACTTGGCGGTACTCTAAATAGTCATCACGCGGAGGAAAATAAATGCCCAAAGAATTGTCCTCCAGAATAGGATCGAATACTGAAGATCTCATGTGGGGTTTATTTATCTATACTTTATGAAATTTATGAATAAAGGAAAAATAATATTGGTTATTTCTTTCACGGGGAAATAGAGGATATTTTAGTAAAGAAGTTAAGAGAACAGATGGTGGGAGACCTGAGAGTAAGGAGCAGCCGTAAAAGAAAATCATTAGATCAATGTACCTACAGCAGGTGTGTTGTTATTTCCGCTGCACCTGAGGGAACATCTAAAATCTTGATCTAGTTTAAATCTATATAGAGTTTCCACCTGCTCTCGCTCGCTCTGTGCTGCATCTACGATAAATCTTAATTTTTAACTCGGTGGCGCCTTTGAGGAAGAGAATGTCGCCTTGTGTGTGTTGGTGTTGGTTGTGGCCGACTGAACGCCTCATATGCTCAGACAAATCTATAGCAGGACCATATATTAATGGTGCGCGAGGAACCTCCAGCGAAGGACACAAGGGCTCTGTTGATGAATAATGGACGACCAGAGCAATAAGAGGGAGTGAGACAAAGGGATCCTCTCAAACAGTGGGTGCTGTGAGTGTCACCCACGTCGGCGATCAATTTGATGTTTCCTTCAGGTAATCACAAGCTAAGGTACGGCGTGACCGG